CCGACATGAGTACTTCGAGCACCTCAGCTTCGACGACAAAGCCATCGCCCCTCTCTCCGCAAAAACTGAACAACAACAACGCATAATAGGTGATATCATTATGAAAGCCATTGATTCGGAAGGGGTAATATAACTACGTCATACCTTGTTGGCATACAATAGAGCGATCTTCGTATTATCGGTGTCTGACTTCAGGATAGCCTTGATCAGTTGATACATCGGAGTCAAGCCCGTGCCACCGCAAATCATGCTGATGCGCGTAGCGCGGATCTTCCGAGGGTTTGAGCCTTTGATCTCAAAACAGCCTGAAGTCAACAGAAAAAAATAAAAAATTGGGTGGAGTATACAGGTCCACACTAAGGAATTACCTGACCACGGCATAAAAATGCAACAATCACAGCAAAAGTCTAGCCCTACCGTAACAGAGGTAAATGCTGACAGCAAGATTCACCAAATGATATGAGTGTAAAGACGGAGAGAATGGTCTTTTACGTATTAGCTAAACCATGAAAGCCGTCTAACTCGGTGTTTAATCTGTCAAATATAAAGTGATATGCAAGTTGTACTTCCCCTTCGGACATTTCTGTTTACTCTATCCATTTTGCGGCAAGATAGGGCAACTACCAGTAATGAACTCTAAATTCCCTAGACATTACAAGTACGCACCTGCAAATAGTAAGTGGATACCAAGTAAGTGACTCCTGACGTTCATACTTTTCCGTGAGACATACTGAGGTAAAGGAGCCTTAAGACCAACCTGCATTGATTGCAAAATGTACTTTAAACACCATAATAACATGACCGTGTAGGGCAATCGTTGGCGAAACATTAGAGGAAACCAAACTGGGCGTTGTGTTGGAAGCAAGGTTCAGCAACACTTGTGCTGGAATATGGCAGCAAATTCGGAGATCAATGTTTAAGGAAATTCGCATTAGGACGTGCATTAAAAACGACAGCGACGCTAACAAGTGAGTATTCTTCGGTATCCGGTATAAAAGATTAGCAGGGCAGCGGATCTGCAGTGTCTGCTATGGCTAGGGAATGTGCTAAATAACCTGAATAAGCCAGTTGGGAACCGCAGACAAAGAAATTCAAACTGGACGTGATCAGAAGAGTCATGTGTCTGAGTGGGAAAGCCGAGACTCTTCAGCACGTGGGCATAAGACACAGCAATTCATGGCGACCAACCTAGATCCACCCCTTGGGAATTTTTCCATCAAGGAGTATTCCACAACTATAGTTTAAAATTATTTCGGAACCTGTGTAACCTCCTCCAGCCTATCTTTCATAGCAGTAACATGTGACAGGCATAACTAGTAAAGAAGGAACAATTAGTTTAAGCCGTCAAAAGTTGGACCATTCAAAAGCCCGTCATAAAACCAATGACTCAGGAGCCCAGACAATCGAACTGATCTTACCGTCGCCTTTGTAGACGAGATTACCGCACGGGCCGCTAACTTCGACGCAACTGTCGTTAGTGAGAGACTCGAGAAACTGAGTCATCTTGCCGCCGGCTGGGAAGTTGGGATGGACGTTTTTGCGGTAAGTCTACACGGAAAGCGGGGAGATGTAGCAGGTATTTGAAGTTTTTACAGTCACTCCTGACTTACACAAGAAAGGTGAGAGACGAACTGGATTTAGTCGGGGCAATTTTTAAAGAATGACAAGCCAGGACCAGACACCAGCGAACATCGTAGTGTGAAAACCCATTTTTTTCAAAAAACTTTAGTCAAATAATCCATCAAGTAAATTCAACGAGGTAGCAGTTAAGCCATAGACATTCGAACGGTCTAGTAACTACCTTGGGGTTTTACGAATCATATTCTGGATGAAAAAGTTGAGACATTCCTTATGACCAGTTTGATGCATTTTAGGCATTGCACTATAGGGTAGAGCTCCGCAGTCTAATACTGAGGCAAACGTAGTGCCTTTTCTACAGATAAAGCAGTTGAGAAACAGACTTCTGCGTTGTGAGTTCGCACCAGACTCCTGACTCGTACGGATGACAAAAAATACAACGGTGTTCCGACCGTCACTGGCGCTAGTGTCACGCAAACCTGTTTGTATGAGTAGGTACAGACCGAATTCCAAAACTGAGATGCCATTACTGGAGTGATGGTATCCATTTAATAGACGGCAGTTCGGGCCTCAAATAAATGGCGATGACAAGCAAAACCGAAATAGTGGTCCCACCGGGGTAAATTCCAATTTCGCTCGGACACGGCTCAAGTTATAACAGACGGCCAGATAAGCAACAATGATTGCTGCAGCCCGAATGTTATATGGTACAGACGTGGTTCTCAGTTCTATTCGGTCAATACGCCAGACTCAGAGCCGTATAAATGGGTAGTTGGGTACGTCTTAGAGATGATAGACAACACAGTCATACTGTGACTCATGCATAGGTCACTGATTTGCCTGGTCAGCAACCGGAAACGCCTGACGGCGACTTATTCGTCAGACACTGAATCTTATCTATTCCACAAAAGGTATTTAACGAAGGCCGCCATACCATCCGCGACTTATAGAAGTGCCGTAGAGCCGGCGGATGGGCTGACACGGACTAGCCCCTCTTGGGTTTACCTCATTTTTGAAAGTAAACAACTTAAAATTAAGAACATGCTCTACGATCATGAAAACTTAACCATTCGACCTGAAAAACGCACAACTACGATGGAGGACCAACCGGCCAACCAGCACATTTATATATCCAGTAATAATGAAGAGGGACGATCAAGTCTCGGAATTAAAGTTCTGCGAAATTCCACGGGGGTCGATTGAAACATGAAAGTTAAGGCTGAAGATCATGCCTGGCATAAAATATAGTCCAAAATCAAATGACACTCAATCACTACATATACAAAAGGGGACCGGTCAGAGGCGTACCAAAAAGACTATCGATAATAAAAAGTCTGAACACTTACCTTTATTAAGAATTTGACATATCCACGATCTGAGTGTAAGCTAATGGGTGTGTAAGGGCGAACGACATTCTCTCCATCAATACGCGCGTGGAGCCGAACGCAGCATCCTAGATTAAGCGCTAAGCAAAGCTTGGAAAATGATACCATCAGGAAGACCAAGAATATGACCACTTGATGGCAAAGCAAAGGTGTAGATATAGGAGTCATGTGTGATTTTCTAAGAGATGCATGTGACGGATTATCTTACTTCTTTGTCAACCAATCTTAGTGAGACTTTGATTGAAGGTCCGAGTAGAGTGACCTTTTCTTTTTTCTTGAATAGAAACTTTGCGACTACTCCACCCACGACAACCGCGGCAACAACGCCACCCTTAAAACGAACCCAGTTAAAAAAAACGACCTACATACAACTACTGCCACAGCCCAAATCCAGCGACCTCCTTCCATTGCTGCGAAGACCCTGGGTGGTTCGCGGCGAAAACTTCTATAGGGTGGTCAAGTCGCATATGGCTTTCCTATTGGTTGATACTACATGTTTATGTGATTGGTTATGTTGTTCTGGGCGAGTTCTTAGTATAACGCCCCACGAAATGTATGGAATTGTTCTACAGCGGACGAACACGTCAAGGATAGCACACACGGAGGCAACTAGGCACTGGAGACAAATGATGGTTAAGACCGATCTAAAAAGAGTCCTTAAGTTGCCACATACTCACCCATGCGAAAGGGCAGAAAATGACTTATGTAGACATAGAAGCATAATGAGGACAGGCGAAAATTGGGGATACATATAATAATGACTAATTGCACAAACGGGATGAGTAAGAACAGGGGAGTGGCCCGTCTGGATGGTGGGGCGACAGTGGCATGCTTCTAAAAAACCAGTGGATAACGCAGTGCTGTGAGCAACCGCTGGGGATGGTCTTGGGAGGTCTCGACGTAGAGAGAGCGAGATGGGCCAACGTGGCGACGAGTTGTGAGAGGAGGGTCCGAGGTGGACAGGGAAGGGTATCGGCTGCTTACACTGGCACGCAGTCACATCACCCCTACCCCAGACACGCTCGGGAAGTGTCCGTTCATCCAAACAACTCCTTACTATTCATGAGCGTTATAGTTTGAAAGAAGAGAAATTTCCGTACGGGTCAGGGATAATGATGGCGTGACTGCGTGTCAGCGAAAACAGCCGATGTCCTTCCCTCCCTTCCACCGACTCCCTTCCCCCAACTCGTCGCAACGCTCTCCTCTCTGACTGTCTAATTCGGCACCTCTCAAGGCCCTCCCATACAGTTGCTCACAGCGGTTGTTCAGCAGGCATGTCATTGTTGTCTCAAAACCCAGAGGGGTGCTTCCTCTGTTGTAACTCGTCCTTTTGTGTGACTGCATATTGCTATCTACTTTATATTTCCGTTCGTTCCTGATATACGCATCTGTACCCGCTAAATCCTTCTACCCTGTTGTATGGATGAGTGACATAATGTGACTAGCAACTCTATTCAACTTGATCTAAGCTGGAAATCACTCCCTGTGCTTCATGTTATCTCTTGTATGCTACCCTCAACGCCTTCGGCCGCTATACTAGATTATTTCTAGCTCGCAGAAGCGGCGGCATCAGTGATTGAAGATATACCAGTATCCGGTATGTTCCTATAACTTCTTTATGGAGGAAACATCTACACCTTTCGGTGGATCAGGAGGTGTTCTTGTAAAGTGGGAGGTAAACTTTGCTTACTCACCATATTTAGGAAACAGGTTTTGTTTTCTCACCGTGAACTCGCATAAATTCCCGACTGAGAACCGTAATGCAGGTATGTTTCCCTGGTCGAATTTAATTGTAAGGAAAGCGCAATTATGGTTGGCGTTATGTTGGGGGTTAAGATATTCGCTAGGATTTTATTTAGGCCTAGCGTCGACGATTGGGCTAAGGGTAGGTTAGCGGTTGTTTAAGGGTTAGGGCTGAATGGCATGACTGATCAATTGCTCAGCTGCTGAAGACTCGGATGAATGTAACCGACCGCATCTGGGTTCCTATCGCCTCGGGACTGATCTTCATAATGACCTCACTGAACGCGCTTCATCGATACTCTTGGCGAAGCCTTCCATATTCGCCATATACTAGTACTCTGGTCGCATCTCCTTTGCCCTATCCTCGGATGGACTCTGATGAATGTAACAGACCGCATCTGGGTTCTTGTCGCCTCGAGACTGGTTGTCATCGTGCCCTTACAGAATGCGCTCCATCGGCGGTATTGACAAAGCCTTCTATATTCGCCATATACTAGTAGTCTGGTCGCATCTCCCCCATGCTCGGATGGACTCGGTTGAATGAAACCGACCGCATCTGGGTTCCTATCAGCCCGAGACTCGTTTTCAATTTCGCCACTTATTTTTCTTATTCAAGGCGATACAGGCCAGTCCTGACCGACCCGCCTACGTACCATTTTATGAAATCCGTTACACAATGTCATTTATTTCGGCCATGATGATGTCGGACTATATTCCATTCTGTACCGCCACATGCAGTACAGTCCTCCCTGTATTTTTCTGATGCTATTTTTCGGAGGGTTTTTTTTTCTCCTGTTTAATTACTACAATCATTTTTAAATTTTGCTTTGGAGTTTTTTTCTCCCCTCGTTTTTTCATTTTAATTTTGCTTAACGGACTTCTAATCTCAAAAACTATGTATTGCACTTTGTACAGATTTTGCCTATCTCGTCTAAAATTTCGCATGTAAATTTATTTTTACTTGCTTTGATGGGACCCCGACGGGTCTTTAATAAAAATAAATGGATTGAATTAAATTGAAGACACGGATGATGGGCCTATGGTCCAGTCCAAATTTGCTAACCCTTCAGGGGAACACGAACAAGTGACTCGACAAACTCCAAGCGATTGCCGAAATAAACTGACCACAGACAACAGGCAGACACCCAAATTTATTCAAATCAAAAATGCTTTCAAAGTCAGGCCGATGTCCAAATTCTTCTAGTTCCACAAAGAGCCGTATATTCACGATCCCACGAAACTTGCAAACTCTAAAGGTCAATCTCTGTATTGTATGAACCGACCTTTTTTCGTAACTGTTGCTATTATTTTACCTTGAAACTCGGGTGTTTTGGCTTAAGACAAACTCGCAATTCGCTATCTATCGAGTTAACAGACATCCAAATAAAGTAAATTCAAAGTGCAGCCGAAATCGGTGAGTTTGGTTTAGATTTTTTCTTTTGTTCAGTAGAAACTGACAGTGCTAAAAAGGCGTCATAATAAACCTATGCTATTCTATTACTACGTTCAAATCACTGTAAATATTTAGATCCTCTGCTTTTTTTGCATAACTGTTTTAATGCTCTGTGCAATTTGCTAGCTAATTTTTTCTCTTTCTAATCGTTTCTCTGGACTCTTAAGGGATTCTTTGATATTTTGGTTGTGGATCGTTTGCATTTGTTATGTTTTTAGGCCGCTAATGGGCTAGTAAGCCTTCCCCCTTCATTCAGACTTCTGCTTTTGACAGGCCCACGTTCGCCTTGAGTAATTAAACAGGCGAGCATGAGAATGCGACGATGGCGCCTCAACGTCGGCAACAAATGGGAAATAGGAACTCGGAATTTATTCCATGACAAAGGATTTCTAAATGTCTTTTGTTGTCCTAGTGGCATATATGTTTGTGTATGTTGTTATGCGGGCAGGGCAGAAAGTAGGCGGATGGTCCGCAACAACTAGGAAAAATATAATGAAAGCAACAATAATTGTTTTGTTTTCTGGCGCTTGGAGAGCACTGCGCGAACAAGTGACGGGAGTTTCAACACTTAAAGCGTAGAAAAGACAAGAACAATATGAAATGCTGGACAGTACCTGAAATCCAGAAACGGAGATGCGGAAGCCTGCACGAAACAAGCACATAAAGACAGGGAGCCAGTAAGCGCTAGCGTCCGAGGGAAACCGTCCTTTGTCAACAGCAGGCCTACTATATTTCCTAGAAAAATACAATTCACCATTATATGTTTTCTTCCGAAGAAAAAAGACTAACCGAAACGGTCAAATTCACCGAAAACCATTCGTCAAATGTCTCGAAACTCTTCTCCCGAAAAGTACGAACTCACAGAAAAAACGCAGCATCCCACCCTTCGAGACGCTCTCGGGAATGCTATAGCTGATCCCAGTTAACCGCTGGTAGCTTCAATGATTTCCTGATCAAAACGTTCATTAAAAACCTGACCGCTCCGCTTCTGACCACCCGGGCACTGACCGGGGCGGTTCGTAAACGATGACCTTCATTCTGTGGGATTTGACTGTAGCGATTCGGCGTCTTCCTCAATCTCATAGTCTGGGACTTGATGGTGTCCCAGTTAGCATTTTAGAAGCGGGTGCAGATGCAATTTTTGCACACCTCTTGAGCAAGATATTTTATCTCGCTATTGAAAGTGAATCCTAGCCTACTTTGTGGAAGAAATCACACAGTTTGCCTATTTCAAAGAATGGACCCATTGTTCATATGAAAAATTTATATGAAAAAATTGATCGAAGGGCGCTTGATTATTTTAACAATTTAATCTCTCGTTACGGATCAATTTTTCTGTTCTTGGTGCCCTTCTTGAGGGAAAGTTGCCAACGCTTACGTCTCAGCAGTGTGAGAAGGTCATGCTCTCATTAACCTGGTTGCTACTGGGACTGAAGACAGGCACAAACGAAGTTTCAATTTTATATTAAAAAACGTTCCTAAGAGTAGACAGACAATCGATGTCGCTTTTCATTTCCTTTATTCATGCGGCTTCAACTTTAGGGTCGCTGAAGATAAAAGGCTTTCATCTAGGAGCAAGGATCCACCAATTCTTGTCAGACTCTTTTCGTCGATAGAGGTGGATGTTATTTTCTCCCATTTGGAGCGCTCGACTCAATATCTCAGGGGAAATAAACTTTTTATTAGTCGAGATCAAACTCCACTGCAACGAAGAATTTCTCCCCATTAACAAATGTAAAGCCACCCCCGAATTCTACTTATTTGTCTTTTACCTCTAAAGCAGTTTCTCCATCGCGTGTCGACCAATTTTCCCCACTATCTACAGCGGCCTCAGCTCCATCTAGTTCTTCGACTGACCACATTACCACAGAGACAGTTGAAACTAGCCTCTTTAAAACTCCCCCACGAAGCGAGGGTTGTTCAAATGCGGCTCCCAAATTTACTAGGGAGCTTGATCTTAACAGTAAAGATGAGCCATTCCTTGAAGCACAACCGACCCCCAGCACTCAGAATAGTGATTTAGTTAATAAACTTACATCGAATCCACCCCGTTCCCACGCCTGGCCACTCAGGCCTGACCTCTTGGTTAGGTCCAATAAGCTAGATGATAGTTCAGGGAGATCTCTATCTGTTTTTATCCTGAATTCTCAACTTAACGCCCCAGTTGTGAAGCCCTCTTACAGACCAGACTGCGGAATGCAAGTATATAGCA